ATGTGTTAAAGGCTTGCTACTTTTTTAGCGCAGGTTCACACCTGGGCTAGATCTGGAACGCAGTGCATTGCTTTTTTGCAGCGATTTTACCACATTTGGATTTTTTTGTTGCTTATAATGTTCTTACAGGTGCGCTCCAGTGCGTTTGTATTAGTTTTTATGTGTTCCAGTGCATTCCAGACCAGACAAAATAGGGCTTGAAAAATCCACTGGTACGCTCGTGTGTGACGAGAGGATGGCGGAGCCCGACGAGCAGCTTACCGGCCGGCCGTTGTAATTACACGGCAAGGAGCTTTACATTCAAGCGATCAAGCATCTTGAGACGCTCGATCGCTTGTATTACAAGCAGCTGTCACTGCCGTTGCCGATCCCGAGATCCGCTGTGCTCGATGCGGCCGGGACCGGTACGGCTCTGTGATAAGAGATCAGTACACAATCACCCTTTGATCTACTCTCCAGTCCTGGCATGCAGCAGGTTCATTACATCACTTGCATACTACATCACTTCCTGCATTCAGCGTCACTTTCCAGCCACAGAAGCTGATGAAGCAGATCTCTGCTTCATTAGCTTCTCTGGGGGGTCCCTAGATGACATACGGGGTCTTGGAGACCCCTGATGTCTTCATAAAGAGGACCTGTCAAGTAAATTGGCTATCACATTGGAGGGTTCTTATCCCCCCTTCCCCCCCATGTGATAGCAATAAAGTTGTACAAAAAAAAAATAATACATACATTAAAGAATCATAAAAAAAATAAAGAAGCATTAAAAAAATGTAAAAAGAAAAAAAAATGTTTTAAAGTCCTCCGCCCCCCACATACACATGGATATGCGTTGGGTGCGCCTACGTGCGAAAACAACGATTGTGCCGCACACGTTACATATAACCGCGTACGTCGGAGTGTGAGCAATAATTTTAGGGCCATTAATTAAAAATAACACTAAACTGATGAGCAGTAAAAGCGTTTTAAGCGTCGCCTATGGCCAATTTTCAGTGTGGTCGTTTTTTTGCGCTTTTGCGGGTGCACGCAATTTTAAGGCTTGACATGTTTGGTGTCTATTTACCCGACGTGACCTCGTCTTTTATGTTTTACCAAAAATATGGGTAAGAATAGATGTTTTATAACATAACGTAGGGAAAACATTTTTTTATTCAAAATTTACGGTACTTTTTTCATTATATAGTAAAAAATAACCCCCCCCAGTGGTGATTATATACCTCCAAAAGAAAGCTCTATCTGTCCCCAAAAAATTAAATGTTAACATAACTTGCAAGGCTGTAGTCCGGTCATGCTGACTGGTGACATTTTTGACTGACTGGTGAGACACCCTAACATTTTTCAAGCCCTGAGCATAGGGATACATTAGGATGCATTTTGAGTCCGGAAACAATGCGGTCTGGTCTGGAGATGATCCAGACATGGTGTGAATGGGCCCTTATATATGGAAAAAGAAGGCAACTAATTGTCACAAAGATTTTCTAGCAAACTGTACATTTATGTGACCATTTCAGGGGAATTCATCATACATTAATTTATTTGCTTGTTCCTTAAACCTTACCGTGTTTAATTTTCTTCCTCTGAGAATCAGAACTCAAGATTATTTTTTTACATTTAGTTGATGCACCCTTTTATCCCCCACAATATGCTTCAATTTCCGCCTCCACAACATAAAACATACAAACTCAGCACCATAGCTGCTCTTCTAAAACTGTCTTTATGGTTACAGAAAGACACCCCGGATCAAAAAGCAAGACTGAGCAAGATTGAAAGTAGATTGAAAGTAGCTGTAAGAGCAGGGTTTCCAAGATAAACCCTTTTCCAGTACTAAGTAATGTCACAAGAGTTCAACATGGATTCTTGACCGTGAATACTATCAGGGCATATTTAAAAAAGTGTATACTATACGTAAGGCTGCCTTTGCTGATCTGCTTTTTAAAATGCTAGTTACCAGGTTACAGAAGCCAGTTGATCAGCAACAGAGAACTAGCATGTTCCAAGGAAAAAGTCAACAACAGGGGCTTGTGTATTTCTCTCAGCACAGACTTCCTTCAAGAAGACAATCCAAAGGGCAAAAAAGTATTGTGACCCAAGGCAACTAATTATAGAAGCAGTTTAGCAACATCAGTGGCTGTGTTGCTAAACTGCTCTATGCACTATTTTATTAAATGTATCCTAATTCCTCATGGCTTTGGAACATGGATAAATAAAGCAACTAAAATGTTGAAGCTGCAATAAGTTGGACATTCTAAAAAGCAATCAAATAATGAGATTCGATTCTGCTGCAATAATCGTTCGTGTTTACTTTTTGAGCGACTAAAAATATCAAGTTGCCCCTATAGAGATCTGCTCTAGTTCTGGAAGGAGACCGACTTAAAAAAAAAGAACTTTGCACATCTGGAAGAAATTTCAACTTTCCATGACATGGTTTAAGTTTTGGAAACTTAATTTCCACTATATTTCACATCAGCAGATGGCAGACAAACACGTCCTATTTTTAGCTCATTGTATCTTTTGATTGGAAGTTTACAAAATGCCACAACATATAAGAATCAGACTCTGGTAACATTTAAATTTGTCCCTGTATAAAATCAAAGTAGGCAGTGTGATCTCCCAACAATTATCTGTTCTATTTCATTGTACTCTCCTGGGGAAACTTGTCTTGGAAGCATCATGCTGAAATATAACCCCAGTAATTACATGAAAGCAATACATAATATTAATATATGTGTTTTGTTTCTGAAGTCCAGTGGCTCATATTGTCAAAATATAGACAGTATTTTACAAACGGATTACACAAATTTTCTACCTTAGCTACAATTGAGGAATCATAAAGCAGACCAAAACCCTAACAACTTAAAGCAAACATTTTATTCACTTCCTCAATGCAAACTTTTAGCACCAGGAGGAAGTAAATACCTGGTATTTCCGGTTATGGAAGACTGTGCAACTCACCCTATGTAAAAGCTCTGGGATAATCAGCACTGTCATATGAGGTACCAATCCAATAATGTGGACTTTGGTTTTCAACATCACATATAAAAAAACAACTGAGGAACAAAAAGCACTTAGAGAAAAATAATCGCATGATGAATAAAGTTGTCTACACCTGAAGAGCTGCAGGCGGAGTCTTGCTTGTGGTACATTGCTCATCATTAGTAGCCAATAACTTCATGGTACAAGAAACAAGACTCAGAGAGCGCGGGCACCCATAAATAACAAAGTAATGAAAAAAATGGTTGTTTAGGCTTAAAGGAGAACTATGAGGTTAAGGCTTTTCCCCATAGTTCTCCTTAGGGTAACGGGAGGACACAAACTAGCATCCTCCCGTCACCGTAAGCTCAGTATACCGCGAGCTACTGCTACTGCTCGCGGTACAATTATGTCTGGATCCGCCCAGCTGCGTGAGTGACAGCTGGCTCTGCCTACCTAGAGGCAGAGCCAGCTGAAACCCGCCCCCTCCCCCGACCGATCCGCCAGTCAGCGCTGGAGGATCGGAGCGGGGAGGGGGAAATCCAGCCCCTCCCCTGTCACGGCAGAGAGCTGTGACAGGATCGAGAGGTGAGCAAACGTGGGTATGTGTTCGCTCACTTCTCGATCTACTGAGCCGACCTCTGACAGTCTCTTTGTCAGTACAAATAATGGTGGTGTAAACATTTTAAACAATTTTGTTTAGGGAGCACAACACTATGTTAGATTTTGTCACACAAATTCAGATTAAGAAAAGTTTGCGGTCATAAAGATGGATTGGAAAATAAGAATACATTAAAATAAATTAGAACACATACCCAAAACATTGCCAGCGGGTACTTCATCCAGGTCTGCTAGCTCACGACCCATAAGTAGATACAAGTTGTCTAAAGTGCAGCAAGCCATGTGAGGGATGGCAGAGATGTCAGCAGAGAAGGAACACTCAGATGGTAGCTAAAGGAATTAAAAAATGAATAGCATGAGCTCTATTTCCCCATTAAAACATATAATGGCATTGTACAATAGCTTACGGAATATATAGTCACTGCTTCACTGCTACAAATGAAACATGCTTACATCCACACAGGTCAGTTTATTTAGAAGCTCATTATACACACTATGATGCCAAATGTTTGTGGACACCTGACCATCACAACGTTATGGGCCCACGTGCATCCTTCTGCATCTATAACACCTTCCTAGAAGAAACTTCCACAAGATTCTGGAATGTGTCTGTGGAAACTTTTTCCCCTACAGCCAAAACAGCATTTATGAGGTCCTCCACATGAAACCATGTCTTTATTTTCTGATCCAGCATGGAACGGCCTTGCTAAATTGTTGTCACAGATTGAAGGTGCACAATTGTCTAAACTCAATAATTTGAAAGGGTGTCCACATATTTAAAAAAAAATGTTTTAGTTATATTTCCATGGTGCTTTTCTCCCTGGGGACTTAAAGCACTTAGGAGGTTAGGTAACCATGCCGTGCACGCTCAGTTGAGCCAGTCAACCTACGAGCATGTCTTTGGAGTGTGGGAGGAAAGCAGAGCACCTAGAGAAAACCCAGATAATGTCCTGGTTGGAAACTAAACTGAAAACCCTAGGTCCTGCATGGCAGAAGTAGCCTGACGTAACAGCCATCCATCACAAGGAAACAGAAAACTGAGGGTGAAAGAGGAATGACATGGTGATAAATGCTGTATATTCATAAGTGTTAATAATATTGCTGGATGCATTTTCAAGAGAAGAAGTCATCCCTTATTTGATTGAATCCCTTCCCTTTAGTAACATGTACAACAGTATTCACTGCCATTAAAGGCAATCTTAGTTTTTGTTTGTAGATCTATAAGAGAATGTGATTAGCTTATTATTAATCTTTCCAAAAATATGTTAACTATTTATCAAGCATATTGGCATTTACATTACACACTGCCGTTTCTGCTTATTACTGAAAACAATATACTCCTTATATAAACGCTTATATAATATGATATACATCACCAACTGTTCAGCAGTGATGCTTATTATATTGACAGTTAGACTGGACATACGCTGCTTGAAATTTGTCCCGGGCCCTTCTGAGTCCTTTGATTTTGGCAGAGTCAATTAAGGGTGGAGGAAGAGTCTGAAACTCTATATTATTG